GCAGTTAATCGTGTTGTTTGCTTTGTTAAAATAGGCTAGCTTTTCCCTAAAACTGACTGGATCTCAGTAGGTAATTACTCTACAGATAAATAGATAACGTAACCCTCCCTTTCAAATACTGCTTTAAACTCTTGACGTTTTGTTTTTCGCTTCAAGCGAAGTGAGGTAAAATTATTAAACCTATAGTTAATTACAATAATATATATTTCTTTAGCAAATAAAATTATAAAACTTTAAGCGCTTTTGAAAGATATATATATATTTGCTTCCGGTAACGTAGAAACCTTTCTACGAAAGCACTCGAGCTTTTGGGGTCATTTTCTTGACCTTTATGTATTACTTCTTAGTGATCCACAATTTTGTTTTAGTCAGTGGTTGGGATTTTGAAAGAGATGGAACTCCCTTTTATGATCCACTTCCTAATAGCAGCATGGATCACAGCATGATACGACAGAACACGTTTTTTCTTCCAATTAGAAGACCAAGAACGCTAATGGATTGAATCTTCAAGAAACGGAACTTTCTTCCGCCCCAATTTAACCCCCTGAATTTAAATTTATATTGAAATGTTTGTTTAGGGCTATTTTTTTCTCAATTTATTTATATTTCTGTCAACACATCACGATAAACATGTTTATTTGTTTAAGCTGTGACACAATTAAAGCAGCTGCTTAAAATTCAAACGTACTTCCAACACATCCTAGCTGAACTGCTCAGTCCATCTTTCGATTTTTTTTTGTACTAAAATTATTGGTGTCATTCTTCATATGAATAAGTCGATTTTGTCTGTTTACATCATCGTGTACAATACCAGCAGAACTGTAACTAGTAAATAAATGAATCATTAAAAGGTTTGCTAATTCCTTTCTGTCAAGAAGTTAAATCTATACAGTCAGCACGTTCTATATAGAACGGTTTTTAACACCTTAATGTATAATGCAACTAAATTTAATTGTCTTATAATTTTCCGCAAGAAAATGACATTTGAGGATGCATTACTGTTTTCTAAACAGAATTTGAAACTTCTTTCATAAGAGATTAAAAGTTGCCACAATACATTAAGGGGCATTAAAAGCACAAAACAAGACTTTGTTGGAGTGTCAAGACTAGATTTTTCTAATACTATAAAACACAATGTGTATTTGTCTGTCTGTTTCTCGGTCACGCAGTGATGTCATAGCAACTTATTACGTAATTTAAGTTGTTTGGTTTCCTGTCAATTAGAAGCGATTGATTAGAAATTAAAGATGTATTTGGACTAAAATTTACAGAAAATTGCACCTTTTTCGCAGTTAAAAAACGTATCTTTGTTATGCCAGAAAGAACGTAAATATACTTTAGTAGATATTGTATACAATATAGTAAAAACTTCTCGAAGTTTTTAAAAAGGTCTAACGTTAGATCGTACAATAATATTAGAAGATTAGTTATTGATAGTATTAAGTGCGGTAAGCAAAAAGCGTGCACAAGTTACAGTGTTAATTTATCTCTTTATCGAATATAGGCCGTACTTAATGATGGCTTAATTAATGTTAGGCCTAAGACAAGTGGACTTATAGATTTGAGTGTCTGAAATTAGAATTATTTTGTATTACTCTAGAAATCCCGTATTTAAAGAAGTGCTGTTGCAATAAAGATACTAATTTGGCTGCAAATGTTTTGCAGGTTTCTGCTAGTCAATAATATTCTCAAGTTCTGTGCGAGTACGTTAGAGCTGGGACTTTATTAATAACATTTTACGAATGCTTCAATAATGGATTTCACTAATCATGTAAACTGCTTTGTTTGCCAAAAGAGTACAAGAACAAACAACCAAATAATGAACATAAATACAGCTTCGCCCGAAAGTACGTTCTAAAAAAAAATAAAGTAAACAAATTAACTGATATCAGATAAAGCGTTTATAACCCTTCGTTTGCGGCTTGTGTAAATCTGCCTACCACCCCATGCGCAAAGATTCGCGAATTTGGCGGCGGCCATTCAAAATATTGGCCGCAAAATACTTACATTAAAGACCCAAATCCCGACAAAGAGAAAGTGCGAAGTTCATAATATGATGTCAACCGTAGTTGAAAGGTTAAAGCTCGTGTCAACATATAAATCTCAGAAATTCAATTTTACTTACTCTGACGGTTTAATTTGAATTATTTACATACCGTGTGTCGTGCGGCCAAAACAACCTGCAGAAAACACTGTGTGTTACAGGAATGATAGTTTAGCAGTATTCCACTTTCTGTAACTCAGACTGTTGCAACACAAACTATCACATATTTTTAGCGGATGTGCTCTACCAGACCCTTATTTCACACACACTAAAGTTCAAGGCAATCCATTAAGAATTACACGAGGTATAAAATATTCAATTTTGATTGAATTTCTTCCTTTTTTTTTATTTCTTTTCACCGAAAGTACGGAAACTTTATTTGATGGGAACACATATTTAACTTTCACGAATTTCTAAAAATTTGATACGGTGATATATTTTTACAACCTACTATGAGGTGTCACATTTTGTCCAAATACAAGCGACATGTGCTAGGATATTCAACAAAACCGCTCAATTTTGACAAAAAATTTGCGTACACCTACGCAAAACGTCACGTGAGCTGTCGATTTAATATTTTCATTATAGCTTCACCTAAGAGTAAAGGTGGACTGTTTTTAGTTTTTGTCATTCGGATTAAAGACAGCTGATTTAGACTAGTAAAACTATTGGGTGAAAGCACGTACAGATGAATAAGTGTTGGTTAGGCCAAGCAAATTAGATTAGCAGTTTCTAGCTCAAGTTTTCAAAAGAAGCATACGTGTGGACGGTTAGTATTCATTATTCATTACCAACTTTTAAGCACAAATTTGCTAAATTTCATAAAAATTCTCCTAATTAAAGAGCGTTTAGCGTCAAGTGATATTAACTTAGACAATTGGCGTAAATAATGATGCTTCATACAGCTGTACCGATTGCACGGGGGGGGATAATGACAAGAAACTGTTGATCTAGTTTTCATGGCGTTACTATAAAGAAAGTTATCTATACTGTTATAGAGAGGAAAACAACCACCATATCTGGTTGGTTTTGTAAAGTATAGGTATGTTCCGAAAAATAGGGTTGCGATCTTAAAGCTAATGTGGGTTACTATCGAGTGTCTTACTTGTTAAGGTTTGTTGGTGTGTATTGACAAAAAAGGAATGATATCTAATCAAAAACACCTTAGGTGTGAAAAAAATGTGCGGCTAAAAGGGTATTGAGTGTGCGACTTAAAAGAAGAAAATCAATATTGGCGGCCAAACTGGTAGCTACACATACAGCATTGATAAGACTTTTACAGGAAATAGTCATTCGTCAGTTACACAGGCCGCGTTTTTTGTTCAACTTGGGATGTGATGATTAAGCTATAGCGTTAGGCTTAATTAACTTTAAGGCAATATTAAAGCTTAAGTTAGATAAAGGTGTGTTCAGCGCACAAAATCAGATATATGCTCCTAATTTTTTCTGTAAAACGATATACGCTCAAGTTCTAGTTTTTTCAAAATAAAGATCTTTCAAAATGAATTCAAAACAACATTCAACTGTGAGCGAGAATTCGAAACATATAGTCACAAAAATGATTTTAAAAAATAGGTATGTTAATGGTTGTGCGTTTCTTTATAGCATAGCCATATCGGGCTATCTACTATGTCCATCAAGGGGAATCGAACCCCTGATTTTACCGCTGTCCCAACTTAAAAAGAATGGAATATTAGAGTTAAATGATATGTCTGGCTTAATGATTCCCAGCATAAAAGTTTCTATAACTGGAAGTTTTAACTGATTGTTTTACTTATATTGCTGGCAAACCATATAACGACTTTATTTTAATAAACTTACCACCCCTTATACTTTTGTAGTTTACTGTGCCCAAAAATTATTATTCTTTGTTTTACCTTATTAAGGACAATATTATGTTCAGTCCAAATAAAGCTAATTGCATAGTTTATATACGTTTGGTTGTTCTCGATGCAAAAAGATACATTTCAGATCGACCACTAGGTGGCTTTCCATTAAAAAAAGAAAAAAGAAAATTTAGAAACACTTAAATAGTTAAACTGTTTTTAGTTATTTGTTTAGTTTAAACTGAAAATTTTAACATTACTATAATGAGTTGACATGAAAATATAACCAATAAAGGATTCGAGAAATTCATATGATTGCCATTTTATAATAGACCTTTAAACAGCAAAGTTCAGTTTACACGGTTCGAAATTATTTGTAAAATATTAGACAGGCTGAACAGTGTTCTAAAATAATTGAACCCGCTTGTGTGAACTTTGACGAAAAAGGGACAATTATTTAAAGCTCTATATACAACTGTGATAACCAATAGTTTAACAAATTTTTGTACATTCGTATGACTTGTTTTGAACATATTATTTTAAAACAAGTGGATTGTGTGCTGTATATTTATTGTTGAAATTTATCGCCAACATGTCACAGACACCTACTGTAAAGAATCTGGCCATATAAAACCTGACAAACACAATCAATCAAACTGATTCATAACGTTTTATATATATGTGTTTATTTGTTATTTAAGCCTGAAAGTACATTGCAACAATACACTCGATTGAGACGATGCTACGGACTGCATGAAAACTTCAGTGTCTTCGATATATTAAAAACAACCACGACTAAGAGTCTAAATTGAGAGTTATATCAAATATTTTAAGTTAGTGTGGTTGGTCAAGCTAAGTTATTTAGGGTTTTACTAAGACTGACGATAGTCACCATGTCAGTGTTTGCGGATGAGAGAATTAAGGTTGGAGTCTACAGCTAGTAAACAGAACATTTTTCTAAACCATTCTATGCACCGCGCTATGATTGGATGAAATATTTTAAGCATGTATTATTTTCAATTATTAATCTTAATTGGTCAGTGTGATAGTGCCAGTTCAGATCAAGTTTACATTATCATCCATTTTGTGTTCCAACCACTCCACAGTGACTATTATTAAAGTCAGTTCAGATCGAGTCATCAGTATCACCCACTCGTATCCCACCCACTCCACAGTGACCATTATTAAAGACAGTTCGGATCGAGTTTACATTATCATTCACTTGTGTTTCACCCACTCCACAGTGACCATTATTAATTTCAGTTGTAAAGCTCATTTTCTTCAACACAATGTTCGTTTTTGCGTTGCTTTTCTTCCAATGACAGAATGACAACCCCGACTTCTCTGTAGCGAGCCTTGTTTTTACATCATCTTGCTGCTGACGAAGCTGGAAGAAAAGGAGCTTCTCGAGGGCAGCAAAAGGAGCTTCAAACAAAAGGTAAGCACAAAGAGCCAGCGCCATGGTCAGAGTAAGGTAGCCAAAGAAGTCGAAAGACTGAAACATGGTTAAAAATAAAGAGTGAAGGTTAAAATATACTTTCATTAGAACGTATTTCTTTAATTATGCAGAAATAAATTGACCCAAAAAAAGTACATGTCCATGACAACCCAAAGTGTACAGCAGTAAGCCGGTCAGTCAAGAGCCTTTTGTGAGGCCTTTCTAATAATAATCAAACTTACTGGTACGTGTCGCCACAGATCTATGTTCATGATTGCTGGTACATTGACATAGATTTTTGTTCATGATTACTGGTACGTGTTGACACATATCTAAGTTCTCTACTACCGGTACATGTTGACACATATCCATGTTCACGATTATTCGTGCGTGTTCACATAGATCTATGTTCATGATAAGTAGTACGTGTTGACACATATCTATGTTCATGATTGCTGATACATTGACACAGTTCTTTGTTTATGATTACCGGTACATGTTGACAAAGATCAATGTTCATGATTGCTGGTACATGTTGACACAGATCCATGTTCATGATCACCGGTATATGTTGACACAGATCAATGTTCATGATTACCGTTACATGTTGACACAGATCAATGTTCATGATTGCTGGTACACTGACACAGATCTATGTTCCTGATTGCTGGTACGTGTTCACACAGATCTATGTTCATGATTATTTGTACGTGTTGACAAATATTTATGTTCATGACTGCTGGCACGTGTTCACACAGATCTATGTTCATAATTATTGGTACGTGTTGGCAATATCTAAGTTCTCTATTACCGGTACATGTTGACACAGATCTATGTTCATGATTGCTGGTATGTGTTGACACATACCTATGTTAATGATTGCGGGTACGTGTTGGCAATATCTTAGTTCTCTATTACCGATACATGTTAACACGGATCTATGTTCATGATTGCTGGTAAACTGACACAGTTCTTTGGTTATGATTACTGGTACGTGTTTACACATATCTAAGTTCTCTGTAACATGTATATGTTGACACAGATCTATGTTCATGATTGCTGGTAAGTGTTAACACCGAAGTATGTTCATGATTATTGGTATGTGTTGACACATATCTATGTTAATGATTGCTGGTACGTTTTGACACAGATCTAAGTTCTCTATTACCGGTACATGTTGACACATATCCATGTTCACGATTATTCGTGCGTGTTGACGTAGATCTATGTTCATGATAAGTAGTACGTGTTGACACATATTTATGTTCATGATTGCTGGTACATTGACACAGTTCTTTGTTTATGATTACTGGTACGTGTTGACACATATCTTAGTTCTCTTTTACCGGCACATGTTGACACAGATCTATGTTCATGACTGCTGGTACGTGTTGACACAGATCTATGTTCATCATTATTGGTACGTGTTGACAATATCTAAGTTTTCTATTACCGGTATATGTTGACACAGATCTATGTTTATGACTACTGGCACGTGTTGACACATATCTATGTTAATGATTACTGGAACGTGTTGACACAGATCTATGTTCATGATTATTTGTACGTGTTGACACAGAACTATGTTCATAATTATTGGTACGTATACGACCTGCAATGTTATGTTCACTTACGTTGTCAGGAAAAATAATTCAGTTATGTCGAAGTTTTACAGAGGTATTAGTTTCACGTTTGATTATTTTATGTTTCATTAATAGATTTTTATTAACTTATGTTTAGCTTTACTAACCCGTTCAAAATGGCTGAAGTTTCGACGTTCACGTTGGAGTCCGTTTCTTACCCAGAATATAACATAATGGAATAAGTATGCTGAGTAAGTGAGTCGACCCAGAGGAAGAAAAATCTTCCACGAGAGGATGGAATTGATCAGACCTTGTTCAAAAGGAAGATAAAATAAATGGTATTATATCTCTGTGTCAAAAACACTGATTCAATTAAAGATGCAATTTTACATAATTAAACTTTTCAGTGTTGATCTTTTTAAATATTTCTGCTTTTAATTCACCAGTTTTAAGTTAAGCGTTTTCTTTAAATGAAATTTTCATTATTGCACATTTCTTTCTGTCTGCATAAGTTCTCAATGCATGTAAGCAAACTGTATTGCATAAATAAAGTTATGTTGTCTGAAACAAGCTATTTGTCTTATATATTCTCATAAATATTATTCTTGGCTTGTTTTCAATTAGGCGCAAAGATACACTAGGACTCTCTGCGCTAGACGCACCTAATCTACCAGTGAAAGACTAGAGAGAAGGCAGCTACTCATCACCACCCACCGCCAACTGCTGGGATACTCTTTTATCAACGAATAATGGGATTGACCGTTACATTATAATGCCCCCATAGCTGAAGGGGCGAGCATCTTTGGTGGGACCTGATATTCTAACCCGCGACCCTCAGATTGGTAGTTAAGCGCCCTAACCATCTGGCCATGTCATGCCCAAATATTAGGCATTGTCCCAAAATATGACTGAATTAACAAAGTGGAGAAGTCGAATAAATAGCAGAGATCCTTCATCAATCTTTGCAAAACACATTAAATGGAGAGATGAAGAAAGTACATGCGTCTGAACTGTAAAAATATGAGTTAAAGTGTATAAAAAAATCAGAAAAAATATTATTGACAATACATATGGCAATCATTAATCTTCTGAACGCTAGATGGCGCGACAACATAGCTCTATGTTTTATTTCTGTGATTAAAATTACATTGTTTAAAAAGTCGGTGAACGGCAATTGTGCTAATATTCATGTTATGATATTCTTTCAATAAACAATATCATTTACATAATAAAATCGATTCCATGCTAGAAATTTGAGCATAGTGTTAAATACTGTAAGCAGCCACGCCCCAAAGTGCGGAATGCGAATTTTTATATATTTTTTGTTATTGGCGATAACGAGGTGTGACCTTCGAATCTACAATACAGCACTTTAACTGTTAAATATAGGGCCTTATGACAATAATAATTACACATAGCGTCGTTTTCATGGGATCTTTAAAGTACAAAAGCACATCCTTGTAATGATGAACTAAAGGGAACAAGAAAATCGATATTTCAAAATATGAAAGAACTGATGACTTTTAGAGACAGAGATATATTTAAGCAACGGATTTTATATCTACATCTGTACACCTTTAATGTAATTTTGTTTAACATATGACAAATTATAGGTTTGTGGGATTATTTAAAAATGTACACTTAGGTGTTAGAATTTAATTCATTTTCGTGAAATTTTTAAATATTCTTTTATTTTGCCATATTCTGGATTATTATTACCGATAGCTGAAGCCTATATAAACATTTTTTAAAAACTGAAATCTGATAAAAAAACAAATTGAAATATATATTTTTCTAATTAATCTTTGATAAAACTTGGCTGAAGTCTAAATCTCAATCAGTTTATTTTATTATTTTAGCGCAAAGCTACAAAATTGGCTATCTGCATTCTGTCCAGCCACGTGAAATCGAACCCTGAATTTTGCCATTGTAAGACCGGAAACGTATCACTGACCCATTGGGGTTAGGGAGAACAAATTTCGATCAGACAGAATTAAGTATGTGATTCTGCTATGGTTATGATTCATAATGGATAGCTTTAGGTCACTCAATGTCGGGCCTCGCCTTGAGGGGAGATACATATTAGCGTATTAGCATTGATCTGTAAAAAACTACAAACTTTTCATACAAAAGAATGAGTAAACTTTATCTGCTCTGTTCTTGAATTTATAGGGCCTCTGGGCTACAGTTTATAAGGATTTTCATCTTCGAGAACTTGTCCTTTGCGCTAGCCGTGTCCTAATTTCGAAATGATAGAATAGAATGAACTCAATCAATAGCACCCACAATTATTTCTTGGGCTTATTTTGTCTGTACAAATAGTAGAATTTTACTGCCACTCCTACAACGCACCTACGCTTCCAAAGTGCAGAGAATTATATTATTTTTAGCGGTAACGGGACGCGAACGCTAAACCCAGTAGATTCACTGGCCGGAAAGTTATCCATTAGGTTGCCTCTAGGCCTTCGTCTTCTTGCCAGTCGATATCTAAATTCTCTGATAAATGTTTGAAAGATTTGAATTTCTATAATACCAGAACAACACTCTCCCCCCTGCTAAAATGGAACCTCTTCCTGTCACCAATTTTCTTTATCTTTCCAAGTTTTTTCTTCTTTAGTGTTGTAGTATTTATTGTTTTTTATTATATTTTTTGTTACTTCTCTGTTGTTATGGTAATAAAGAGTTGACTGTTGATTTTGTTCAATGGTATATCAACTTCCTGCAAAAAATAGGCATTGTTTGAAAATAATGCTTATTGGGGCTATTTCAGCATTTTTGAAATTTACTGTTAATGAACAGTATATTTAACTAATCTTGATAATTACTGTATAATGTTTAGTATTACTTGCAGAAGATCAAATTTGGTAGTAGTGTTTTGTCATGCTAAATTAACAGGTGTGATATGGGCCAGATTAAATCGTATATCGTTTATACTTAATTTGAACCACTCCCAATCCAGGTGTATAATTTACGAGAATTGGCTCGGAAGGACCTTTTCACATGCATTTTGGCTTGACCCTATTGATAAGACGATTTAATGAAATTATTCGCATATCATATATTTGCAGAAGAATATAAGTTGTTACTTTTTATTTCTCTCAAAATCTTAACTAGACCTATCTTCTGTTGTTTTCTACCCGCAAATTGTGGGCCGCGGGTTCGAAACCCTTCACCGAACATGCTCGCCCGTTCAGTCGTGGGGGCATTATAATGTGATGGTTTTTCAGTTATTCGTTGGTAAAGAGTAGCCCAAGAATTAGCAGTGGGTGGTATTGACTAGCTGCTTTACGTATACTCTATATTTTTAAATTACAGACAGCTAGAGCAGATAGCTCCCAAGTAGTTTTGCGCGAAATTCGTAAACAAATAAACTAGCAAACAATTTTTTACCATAAGCTTTACACCCAACACATATTTCTTTTCCTCTAATTTGCCATTTCTCACCAGAGGGCCCTGACTTTCAATTACATTCAATATGCAAGAAGACATAAAAATATAGTTACAATATAAATTTGCTTGTTTTTACTGGGGCGCATCTATACAATTGTAAAATATTAGTAATCTCTAAGACACTTTACAGAAAATCAGGAAAGATACCATACTACTACATCTTAAGTTTCATTCTTAGCATGTTAAATAGAAATTTCCAGCAAAACTTATTTTATAACCTTTGTTGCATTTCAGGTCAAGGTTATGGACTATTTGAACACTTCACAAGAAGATCTATAAAGAGTAACGTAAACGAGTTGAAACGTTGTTCTACTTACTATAGGTCAGATCAAGGTTATGGACCATTTGAACTATTTGATTATCAGTATTATCAGCTCTTGATCGGTAGACGATAAAGAATTACACAAACTAAATGAAACGAACGCTCTATTACAGTACTGTCCTTCAGACCGAGGAATAACTTGCCCCTCTTTCGCCTTTTTTTAAAAAACACAGAAATAACCCGAAACGCCACTTCACTATATGTAAGGTCAGTGTTTCTAATTCATTCATCTATAGACCACTGAACTTTTAGAACATGCTACTCATCTGTTCAGATATTTTAGAAATTTGCTCATACAACTAACTCTATTAAAACCAGTTGTTACTTAATGCATTTTAAGGTATCATTCTATAATTATCAGTCGAATTATGGTGATACGTCAATAAACTTTGGTAAAGGTTAAATGCTTTGCAAACTCTGTTATCAAACAACGGCAGAATGTCTCGAAACTGCTTTAAACGGAGTTTTAGATAAAATATATTAACGTTGGAACAATACTGCTCTGGTTTATAATAGCGTTGAGAAATGAGCCTCATTTTTCAGGAGTTCAGAAAAGTAAAGCACTACTCTCACTGGAAAAACCAATAGTGGGACAGCTAAGATTAAAGTGTTCAAGTAAGGCGTTTAATGTGTTGTTTAATACGATTTTCTTGCAATATTGTATTGTATCTGCATTTTTACAGCTACGTAAGAAAATTAAATAGTATTCATGAAAATTGTTTTTTTTAAATCTATTTTAGGGTTCCAAGTTTAGTATACCGTCCTAGAATATAAATCAAATATAATTGAAATAAAAGGGTTTCGCGGTAACTTGGAAAAATGTAAGGGTTTGGGGTGAACATAAAGATTTGCACTGAGTTTTATTAGAAATGTTTTATCCATACTATTTAGATACTACAGTTCGTGCTTTGGATTATTGCCATAACCTGTAGTGTTTCAGCTTTGTACGGAGCCTACGAATATAACAGAGGGAACCTCCCTCCTCTATGGGAGGCTGGATTATATGCCTCTCTTCATCGCACTGCCTGGGCTGTTGGATTGGGCTGGTTGGCATTCGCTTGTGGCACGGGCAGAGGAGGTAAATTGATGTTTTTATGTTTTACTAGTAAATGTCATAGAGATAGACGATTTTTGAGTAAATGATAATTTTATAAATAAATAAAATAAAACAGAAAACCACATAAGACAGACATGTCAGAGAAATCGGTCAAAAACGGAAAGTATTGCACGTGAAAATCAGACAAATAAATCAATGGTACCAACTGCAATGTGAAATTGGTAAAATATATTGTATCTTCTGAAGCAGGGCCCACACAGAGGAAGCAAGAAAAACGTGACAGTGATAATACGCAAAATGGGAAGGCACTCCGACAGTGGCACCGATTTTCTTCTTTAAAAAATATTTTCTTGTTACAAATTTTTGCGTAATTTCTATCAAATTTTGATTTATTACTGTTGTAATTTTTATCAGTGCAATTATTACCAATATCGTCACAAATGTTTCATTTTTTCCCACTTTGTATCATCACAGACGCCATTTTAACAAGAATAAATATTGACGGTGATATTTTAACAGGCACCATTATTACCGGTTTCATTTTAACAGATAGCATCATTGTCAGTGTCATTTTAACAGCTATCATTATCACGTGTCATTTTTAACAGGTACCATTATCACATGTGTCATTTTTAACAGGTACCATTATCATCTATGTCATTTTAACAGGAGTCATTATTTCCTGTGTTATCTTAACAGCTACTATTATTATTACGTGACACCACACAATGGTGGGGATACACGGTTTATCCGTTGAGGGTCATGAAATAATGTCAACACTTACCGGCCTAATAATGACATCTCGATGATGAAGCAGCAAATATCCAGTAATTATTCCGATACAATAAGGTCCTAAATGTCCATATGGCTTCCAATAGATGTCTCTTTCCAGTTTTTGATTAACCCTGCACGTAAAGAGATCAAAAATAAAAGTCAAAAGCTTCGTGTGGAAATGAATTACTTAGTTATACGTCGCTGTCACGTACAGAATGATACTGGTTGGTTGTAGTGACAGTTACAAGAACATTCCTTTTATAACCTTAATAACTCGTAACAAAACCCTTATATTTTTCCACGATATCGCGAAACCTGTTTATTTCAATTGTATTTGATTTATATTCCAGGACGGTATACTAAAATCTGAACAAAATAATGTTTCCATAATATCATTAAGAATATGGAAACTATTTAAAGTGTAGACACAGATTATATTTGTTTTATAACCTAATATAATTTCAGAAGGTGCAGTTTGTATTACTGTTATTATTCCGGATATTTTGTCATGTATACTTCTTGGTACTTTCTTGTTCGACTTCTTGTGGTAAGAAAGAGCTTAAAAGTTTGAAACGTAGAGAGTTTTTTTCTCAATCCTCTTCGTTCGATGAGGAATAACATCTCTCTCCAGTAACTCTGGGTCACGTTAATGCAGCACGTGTTCACAAAGCCTCATTCAACTCTTTGGAGTTTAATAAAAAGGCAGATGAAATTAATATATCACTTTCGTAATGTCAGAGCCCACTTATAGTTTTGGTTATCTAGATATTATAGTAGAAACAGTTGCTTTTGGGTTACGTGGAATATAAAGAGATCACTATCCAATAATGAAGTTAAATATGGTTAAAGATGGAACGTGACCAGGCTGGAAAGGTCAACATTCTAGGGTATAAATAGAACCACGAGCTAACCAAATGCTTCATTGTTACAGATCTAAACAAATACGTTTTTATAATTACAGCTTTGAGCTTCTACGTAAACGGCAAAAATGGATGAATATTCCACCAGTGAAAGAGAAATTAACCTTGTTTAATCAATATAGGCCTCAAAGAGAAAACAAATTGTTTCGGAACTAACACCACTACGAGAGAGAATTGACATCTTAGAGAAAAGGTAGAGCGCCTCCAATGTGACGTTCAGGGGGTTTGGTTGTTGTTAAGTACAAAAGTAAACAATGGGCTATCCGTGATCTGCTCACCTCGGGTACTGAAATCCGGTTTTCAGCGTTATAAGCCTTCAGACTTACTAGCTAAACCACTGGTATGGGAGGGAAGTAGGCATCCAGAGGGCTCGGAAGATCATCACTGAAAGATGACGGTCTATAGAGAGCCTCACCATTTTATTTTATTTTTGAGTCATTATAATCTTCATGCGTTCCAGTGGTTTGGATGTATTCTGTTTATTGAGTTATGCTGTACAAAAAGTATCTGTGTATAGCCGTCTATATATATTTAAACTAATAGACATCATTCACCTTCACCTCTTGTGCTATTCTGGTCTAAGCGATTTATGGGGTTTATTGTTACTCTTATAGCGCACCCACAGCCTCTAACTACAAAGGACGATCTTGCAGCAACGAGACTTGAACCATGAAACTCCGGATTCACAGCTCGGGTACGTTAACCACTAGGCCGTGCTTGGCCCAAACAATATGTAAAGAAGTAGCATTTTATGAAGCATAAGAGTAGTGTATGGAATCTCATTTACGAGTAGAATAATTACAACAACATGGGGGGGGGGGGTATGGAAATAACGCCCATGTATGAGTGTTCGAAATACATGTTTACAAAGTTTCAAAAACAACCCGTAGAAACTGAACCATGAAATATGGAGTTTAATAATCGTTTAAAAACAAGAATAAAGATGCAGCTTGAAATATTCAAGATAAAATTTCACCATCTACTAAAAATAGTGGTCAAATGTAGAAGATAGAAAGTAGAAGATGGAAGTTCTTGAATTATTAATAAGGTGAACAAAGTGGAGGATTAAACAAAAAGCTTCATGAAACATTAAAAATTGTTACAACTGTGATTAAAGTAAACACGTTTTCTTTACTTAATAAGGTGAACAGAGTGGTGGATTAAACATAAAGTTTTATAAAACATTAAAAATTGTTACAACTGTGATTAAACACGTTTTTTTTACTTAATAAGGTGAACAAAGTGGAGGATTAAACATAAAGTTTTATAAAACATTAAAAATTGTTACAACTGTGATTAAATTAAACACGTTTTCTTTACTTAATAAGGTGAACAGAGTGGAGGATTAAACAAAAAGTTTTATAAAACATTAAAAATTGTTACAACTGTGATTAATTAAACACGTTTTCTTTACTTAATAAGGTGAACAGAGTGGAGGATTAAACAAAAAGTTTTATAAAACATTAAAAATTGTTACAACTGTGATTAAATTAAACACGTTTTCTTTACTTAATAAGGTGAACAGAGTGGAGGATTAAACAAAAAGTTTTATAAAACATTAAAAATTGTTACAACTGTGATTAAATTAAACACGTTTTCTTTACTTAATAAGGTGAACAGAGTGGAGGATTAAACAAAAAGTTTTATAAAACATTAAAAATTGTTACAACTGTGATTAAAAACGTTTTTTTTACTTAATAAGGTGAACAAAGTGGAGGATTAAATAAATAGTTTTACAAAACATTATAAATTGTTACAGCATAGCAAATATTTACACGTGCAGGTTCATGCTCAATGTGTAAAGATTCAATAAGATCTTCGCATGTGCACCCACTCAGAAAGTACCTCATAAAGTAAAACAAACATACTTACACAAGGTCAGGAGCAAGGTGCATCATGGTTGGAAAGTAGGTGTTAATCACTGTAATCATACCAACAGCAATATTTGAGCCAGTTACCAAGAGGAATATAACAACAAATCCAACAACTGGCTTCCTAGGAGAAATACATCACATAAGATATACGTTGTTTTCACCTTAATAATGACATTGTTAACTGATTAAACGTAAATGTGATCGTCAACTAACTTTTCCAAGATTGATGTCTGCACAAAAATTACAAAAGATATTAAATATGTTAGCCCTGACACTAAATATTATAAACAATATTTCAACTATATTTTAGATTAACGAAAAAATAAACCATATCTTTGGAGCAAAATATGAGTACGAATACTGCGTAGAACTGAAGAGGACACACGAGAGTGTCGAAACTAGCCTTGTTAAGTCTTTTTACCAATATTTCATTCCAAAAATGTTTTGTTTTTTCTCTTTATTTTAGCTCTTTCTATGCGACTTCATTTTACGCAAATGATACAAATAACTTTTGTGAAAGCATGAAATAAGTACATAAAAATAGTACAATGCCTAGAAACAGCTAGAACTGATAAGTTAAGAACTATCCAATTAATTTTGGAAAAAGTTTTTGACACTACACTCGAAAGAGTATGCTATCTTGGAGCAAAACACAAAACATCGTATTAGTATAAAATATGCCAACCTTGAGCACAAAACAGTACATCGTATTAGCATAAAAAATGCCAACTTGGAGCACAAAACAGTAGATTGTATTAGTATAAAATATGCCAACCTGGAGCACAAAACAGTACATGGTATTAACATAAAATATGCCAATCTGGAGCACAAAACAGTTCATGGTATTAGCATAAAATATGCCAATCTGGAGCACAAAACAGTACATGGTATTAACATAAAATATGCCAATCTGGAGCACAAAACAGTACATGGTATTAGCATAAAATATGCCAATCTGGAGCACAAAACAATACATAGTAGTCGCATAAAATACCAATTAATTTTTCATCAACGATCAAATTTTGCTGGAATGAAAGTCAGTTCAAGTCCATAACTTTACATCCATATCTGGTTCAGTTTATAGATTTTGCTAAATCATTACGAGCTGTCTCCATTTTAAAATCCACAAACCATCTACCGAATATAAATATGGGTATGCACTTTTTTATCATTTTGTACGTAGTATGTAATACAAAATTGTTTTGCTAACAATTAAAGGTTTACAGTTATAAGCTACTCAAATCATTTCGGTAGTTTTGAAATTTTATTATATTGCTGTAAGAGAATGTTTGAAGACAAAACACTAATATTCAGTAATTCAGTAAACCTTTAATACAATTGTTTAAAATTTAATACAAGTGAATCACTATTTTCTAAAATCGATTTCTTTAACTAACTTTATTGCTTACTGAATTTTTCTTTATAAAGAGGCAATAGTTGTAAGCCTAAAATAGAATGTTTTTCTTCTGAAAATGGACTTACCAGAACAGCGGTATCACAATCAGCAAGGATATGATATGAAGCTGCATATCAACACACAGATACCATAAATGAGAAAGACACTAGGTAGAGATAATGAGTTTATATTAACTCCAAATAGGTTGAGACTTTATACAAAATTGTTGATGATAATTGTATTTTTTTAAGCAATACTAGCTAAGATTACAAAAGTACTGGGAATTAAAAAGAAACATTTAATGGTAAAGAATTAACCTTTTGTCAACGATTTCATGATTTGGCTTATAAATTCTGCTTCATCGTCTACATCAGCACCCAGTCAGAGAAAGTAAAATCATTAGACATGGATCTTGTTTATTGCAATATCTATCACGTAATAATAAAACGTTTTAAATTGTTAAAAATATTAATCTAATAATAATAAGAAGAAGAACTTTAATTCCACATATAAAAAAGGAATGTAAAAGAATTTTCAAAATTCGACTCAAATCCGAGTCAAACATCCACGATTTCATTACTTACTCGTTGTTCATAAGCTCTCCAGTTAGTTATGTAAAGAAGATTACTCCACCAAGATTTTTTACAACGTTCTGCTTCATCACGCACCTGTAAGTCCCAGAGTGGTCCAGATCCCAATCCTTCCATCAGGATGACAAGAGAAATTGCCATCATCATTGGTGGAGTTAATCTGCCATTAGTATATACAAATAGTAAAGACAATTATAAATGTTCTTCTTTGCTGGTTTGCAATTTGAAGAATGGTAAACTTCCTATTTCCACTAACATCACAATTTTGCAAATTGGCTATAAAAGTTTGGTAGACTTTCCATTGTTTGTTTGTTTGTTTTTAATTATGCACAAAGCTACACAAGGGCTATCTGTGCTCTGCCCACCATGGGTATCGAAACTCGGTTTCTAGCGTTGTAAGTCCGCATACATACCGCTGTGCCACTTGGGGGCACTTTCCATTGATATAAAAATAATGTCGTAGCTGCTGATTCAATGTTGAATGGTATATTTATTTTACTCAATGAGTCTTTTAAGGTATTCAGCAAGAATCAAAATCCAAAAACATTTAGAAATGAAAGAAAATACCTTGGCAAAGAAAAATATAGTTGGTTAAGCAAAAAAATCGTATTTCTTACATATACTTTTAACGAAGATGTAAACGAAGAAATATTCTCGAGGACTGAACAAAAGCAATTTTTACTATAGAAAGTTTGGTTTGTTTTGAATTTCGCGCAAAGCTACACGAGGGCTATTTGCGCTAGCCGTACTTAGTTTAGCAGTGCAAGACTAGAGGGAAGGCAGCTACTCATCACCACCCACCGCCAACTCTGGGGCTACTCTTTTACCAACGAATAGTGGGATTGACCGTCAAATAATAACGCCCCCACGGCTGAAAGGGCGAGCATGTTTGATGTGACGGGGATTCGAACCTGCGACCCGCAGATTGCGAGTCGAGCGCGCTACCCACTTGGCCATAGTATAACATGTACACAGTGCAGAAGGTGTTCAGCGTAGGCGTGGCTCGAACCTTGGAACTTCAAACAGATAGACTGGCACGGTATCCACTAGGTCACGCTCAAACATTATTTATTAAGGAACATGTGAATATTAATTCTGGGTCAATAGCATTACTATTTCTCATATTTTCGTCTACTGTCATTGTGCTATGAAATACTTATGTATAAGTTCTCTCCAGTTTGTAAACGTTTAAGAACACTAAAGTACAATATGTACAACTATACGTAAATAACTGCATTAAAAAATTCAACCTATTTTGTCTTTCCTAAATATTTACATATTATTAAATTAGTTTGTTTGTTGTGAAGCACAAGGTTACAAAGGGGGCTATCTGTGCTCTTCCCATCGCGGGTATCGAAACCTGATTTTTAGCATTACAAGCCATCAGACTTACCGATGAGCCACCGGTGTGTCATATCATAATCCTGGCCAGTATTTTAGTAATAGTAAACTATGCTATTGATCTGAAATATTGATATTAATCATGTAGATAAAACAGACGAAAAAGTCCAAAAGCATAAAAAATAGATCCAGCTGTTCTTAAGTGAACACATCAACAGAAAGTTTATTGTATAACTTCAAAACTAAATCGAAATGCCACATTAGTGCTTATGTCGCCAGATCTTCTATCCACACTTGTCTAATACGTGTGAAGAATGAAATAAACTACAACAAAAACCTATAGTTCCTACCTCCAGTATCTGTGGAATAGATACAGTCCAAAGTTCATTTTTCCATTAGACTTCGTAAGTCGCCGTAACGTAATATAGGCCACCAAGATTCCACTGTAATACCAAAGGTATAGAGAAAACAAACACAACGTTAATGAATATTTATGACATTCATTTGAAACCTAGAAGATATAATAATTGTTTATTGCTGTTTAGTGCAAAGCTACACAATGAGCGGTCTGCACTCTGTCCACCATGGTGAATCGAACGTCAAATTTTAGCGTTGTAAGTCCACAGACTTACCGCTGACTCGCTGAGGGACATAATTATTGAAAAGTGATGTTACTAACGTTAGCATAATTTCTAAGTAGTGTAGAATTTCGGTACATACCAACGTAATTATTTATTCAGTAAATGCATAGTTATAAGTCTGATTAATGTCAAGTTGAAATATGCTAATAGCAAATGCTTATTCTTCATGAATATCTCGAGACTAGTAGGTTGTTTTAAGAAGTTATATTGAAGAAGTTTATCTCATGTTGCAAACTCCGATTGATTTTCTAAGTTAGATCAGTACGTTGGTGAGTAATGTTTTTAAACAGTCGTCGAATCCCAGCTTGCCCTTGATGAAGAAAGGTCCACCTTTCGAAAGCACTTGAGCAATACGGATTTGTGTTTTTATGACAGAGAAGTTGATCAGCTTGTACTGCGCATGTTTGTTTGTTAGTAAATAATGTGTAAATATAGAATATATTTTGATGGAATTACTTAAACCGTGTTGATCTCATGGAACAACGGATGTCTTCTGTAAATGAAATACAAAAAGTTGCAATTACAAATAATTAAGTATATTTGGAGTTAATATCCTTCAGAAATAATTGTATGATACTACAGCGAATCACACTCGAGCTCTTTATAGTAATGTCATTATCTTTACGTATGTGAGTGTCAATATATTTTTTATACATTTTAGTATTTTAGAACTATTTTTAGAAACGTATAATCCTGAAGGTAAGCGTGCAGCATGTTACAGGATAGGATATCTAGTTTGTTACAGGATAGAATCCCCAGCTTGTTACAAGATAGGATTCTCAGCCTGTTACAGAATAGAATCCCCAGCTTGTTACAGGATAGGATTCTCAGCCTGTTACAGAATAGAATCCCCAGCTTGTTACAGGATGGGATATCTGGTTTGTTACAGAATAGAATCCCCAGCCTGTTACAGGATAGAATCCCCAGCTTGTTACAGGATGGGATATCTGGTTTGTTACAGGATAGGGTCCCTAGTTTGTTATAGAATATAATCCCTAGTTTGGTACATTATAAGATCCCTAGCTATGTTACACGATATGGTCCACGACTTGTTACAGAATACATGACGATAACATTATACATTAGAATCCTATCATGTAACATGCTGAGAATCTTATCCTGTAACGTGCTGATAATTCTATCCTGTAACAAGCTGAGAACGATATATAGTAACAAACTAGATATCCTATCCTGTAACAAGTTGGGGATTCTATCTTACAATATAGCCAGATATTATATCTTGTAAAAATCCAGGGATCTTATCCGGTAAAAAAAAACTTGAGTTCCTAGACAACAGGAGCTTAGGTTTGCATAGAATTACATTCTATTTAGGAAAACCTTTTTTACAAGAATAATCAGAAAGGAAATCACCAACACATTTCTTCTTTTTTGACTGGTTGGCATCATTCTAGTCCTGTTAAGTTTTATATCAACCTATTCCTAGTACTGTAAACTGGTTTATTAGTGTATAAATCTATAAAAGTGTAGTTTTTTTCGTAAGGTTTTAATTTAGTCTTTTATATGGCAAAAATACAATTTTTTAGCCCTGGCATAGCGGTTCATAGAATGGTTCTGATTTGACTGATTTGAGATCTAATTACAGTTTTGGACTCAGGATGTCAAACCCTTTTGATTGATGTATTTGACCACGTTCAAGGTTTCATGGGTTAATTGACTCCAATCCTGCAAATAATAATTTCAATTTAAGGGTAGGCTGGTAGAGATCCTGATGATTAATAAAATCAAATAGGGGATACGCTTGGTATTACTGACGCACAAAAATATAGATAATAAAAAGGAAAACAAGGTCTCATAGATTAATTTACTCTAATCCTGCCTTGACGAATTTCAAGTGCCGCGGCTATTGAGGATTCCCTCACGTTTGGCATAAGAATATCAAATAAACAGAAAGAATGAATAACAGGAATAACGTTACTTGTTGTTAAGCACAAAACTGCATATTGAGCTACTTGTGCTGTGCCCACCACGGGTATCGAAACCCAAATTTAGTATAATAAATCCAGAGAATTACCGCTGACCCACTTGGGGGACTACATAATAATGTTATCTAAGGAGAATGATTTAATCAAGTAATTAAGAACTTAAATTCCTGAATAAAGAAATTGGTTTTCTAATATTTTACCAATTTAATTGTAAACTCCCTATCCTATATTGCTTATAAAGAAAGTTGAGTACATTATATTAAAACAATTTCGAATATGTAAATCAGCAAGATACGTGACAACCACATCCGATCTAAAGTCGTGGTGGAACGGAACATATCAGGACTACATTTAGACAATGTTTTAGTGTGACGTCACCGAAGGTTGAGCGCTTTTGAGAATGATATATAACAATTATTTCCGACGCATAATGTTCATACGATCAGATTATAAAGGTGCGTTCAGAACGGAGATTTAGAATTTAACAGAGATATTCCTTGTAGTTAATGGTATTGGAAACAAAGTTATATGGATCACTTTGAAATGGCCAACAATAAAAAGAACATAAACTAATCGTACCTCAGTTACGGTAAACAAAATGTGACGTCTTGTAACAGGTGAGACTTGTCGAACACAAAGGTCAGTGACAAAAGCCGCTCACGTGCCCCAGGCAGCAGTACACAGCATAATAAAAAAAGGATCTCCGTTTGAGAACGAGGCCAATAGGTGTGGGTACAACAAGATCATGCTTCCACTCATGCGTACCTTAAGCAACTGAGAAATGTTATTCTGTTCGAACTTATACAGGTGGAGTCACTGGACGAAGTGCCTACGGATTTCTGTGTGGATCAAACTGTTGAAATGGGCACTGGAAAACCGCTCTCCTCGTACAATAGATGGAATATGGAAAACAAGCAGGGACGAGTGGTGTGTTTTGGAAATGACATTCTTACGACAAAGCTTCTTACAACGAAAAAATACGTTTCATTGCTATTCTCAAGATGTTCGATCATCGGGTGACCGAACGTGGCGACATGAGCTGTAATGACGTGGTGATGCTCCAAAATCCTTTTGATATAATATACTCAATCTCTGTGATCATAACAAGTGGTTGAAACTCTCAAAGATAAATAGCACTATTATTAAATCAAGACACACCAACATCAAATTTAGCCTAGTTCTCCTCTAAATGACAACCCATATCTCACCTGGAAACGATTTCTAATTGTACATCATGTATCAAAAATTCAGTTTTCTAGAGTTCGAAATATCTTACCTCAAAAAGAAGAAAGTGTCAACGCTTATCCAGCCATTCAATATTACCTCAAAAGCCAAATCTTCTTGAGAATTACGAAGATTATACAAGCTTCCTAGAAAACAATAATTGAAACGTATTAAATCCTACGTATAGAGCAAATAACATTGCTATGTGTGTGCATTTTAAAATCTGCAAAATTAACAGTACGCTATTTTCAATGCTAAATTTTATACGAACGCCATTTTGTTTCAAAAGCAACAAATAAATTACACAGAAACACTGTTTTTGTTGGTTTTTAGCGCAAAGCTACACAAATAACTATCTGCGTGCTGTCCACTGAAAGGAATCGAACCTGGGATTTTAGCGTCGTAAGTCAGTAAACTTACCCTGACCCATAGATGGACCACGGAAACAAAGTTTAAATTTGCTGTATTCAGTAAGATACATTTTGGCCTCCCAGTAGCACAGCGGTATGTCTTCGGGCTTACAACGCTAGAAACCGGGTTCAGTACCCGTGGTGGGCAGAGCACAGATAGTCCATCGTGTAGCTTTGTTCTTAATTCCAAACAAAAGATACATTTCAAGATACATATGGCTCCACTCTAAAAATTGAACTTAAAATGAATATTTTAGTTTTCTTTTTAAAATCATAAAAAGTTGTTAATTTATAAGCTTAATTTTATAAGGTCTTTTTTCATACGGTTAATGACATGGAGTTCCTTGTTTACTTAATCTCGAAAAAAAAATAACGTAAGAAGGCAGTACCTTTGCTATAACGTTAACGTGTAAATATTTCAATTGTATAATGTAAATATACTTACTAAAACCTATGAGTGGCGCCCAAGCATACGTGTGGCACAATATTATCCACGTCATTGTGATGAACCGAATCCCGTGCAAGGCTGACACGTCTCCTGGACGCTGGGTCAGGTCAAACAGTTGTTTTCCGTTAGAATAGATAGAAAAGGCAAGGAAGTACTGGATCGTTTTCTCTACAAGCAACGGATTAATTTTAAGAGAGATGCAACGAATCTGTTCTTATCAACAAAAAGACTTCAAATTCTTCTTAACATATTCCATATAAAAGTCGTATAACTATTACGAAATCATAAACAATATTCAACATTATACTGGTCCACAATTAAAAACATTTTATTTAGGCCTATCTA